GAGCTTGTGTGCACGGCACACTTGAGCGCATCCGTCTGAGGCTGTGGATCAATGCCAGGTTTTACCACTTTATCACTATTCCCTCTAACTTGTAGCTGTTTTTTCGTTATCTTTTGAATTTAATATGAATTATGGAACCGTTTTTGTCAACGTTTGTTTCCCCCGTTTTGTACAATAAATTATTGTTTAAAGTTTCAACAAGTTTCTTTTGGAGTGCGTGACACAAGTGTGTTTTGAAAACGACCGTGGACTGTCACCTGCTCAATGCATCAGTACCTTTGGATGCCATGACAGTAATAGCCAATAATGTCAAAATATCATTTACAGACCGATTTAACAGACGATCACTGCTGCCTGACCCGCAGGTCCATTTGCGGGTCCCGTGGGTTACAGGTCAACCCGCGCATCACTAGTCAGCTCAGTCTATAAGGCTGTACACAACAGTAAGGCTATAGACATTATATTCTATTCAGGCCAACAGAACCAGCAGCGCATCGACTCTACAGTGCACGGCACTGCTGATTAACCATTTTATTGCAGCACAGAGTGTCTGCCAGCAACCAATTACTTGCAGAGGCTTCCTACAACTTGTTTCAGCAGTTCCAATTTAATCAGAAGACAAATTAAACAGGATGACTAGCCAATGTGAAAATCAAAAGAAAGCATAGAATAATGTACTGAAGGAGACTGTTGTGCCATCACATTTTTTTGTGGTTTGAGAGCAAAGATCCGGTCGCCGCTGTGCAAAACTCCGCAGCGCAATTAGGTCCGAAAAAACCCCGGAGTCCGCTGCCCGCCGTGAATGAATATTCGAATATTCATTATAAATTCTGCCCAAGCTCCAAATGTTAAAAAATAGTATTCGGGACAGCCCTACTTCTTTCAGCATTGGCAGTATAAAAACAAAATCGGGGAGTGCAGCAAAATGCCGCCTACCTACTTTTGTTTATACAGAATGTGCCTTTTTCGGGGCAATGGGGGGCGTGAGCAAGTAACAAATGTGTAGCTCAGCGTGTGACGTAAACAGTGACGTGGGAGGGAAGCCGCGGCTAGTCAGGCGGCGATTCTCTCATAAATCGGCCCGTTCTTCACCGTCCCCGTCATCTGACGGTTAATGGCCTCTTCGTTTGCGAGGACAAGGAGGGCGCGCAATTCCTTGTCTCCCCAGTTGCTCATCTTTACAGTGTCTGTCAGGTTTGTGTTTCCCTCTTGCTACTAGCTGCTCGCTAATTCCTGCTATCAGCTGTTTCCGGTTTATCCGCCGCCAGTGGGTCACACGTACGGCGTCATCAACAGCTCCTCCAACAAGTCCTCAACAGCTCCTCCAGTGGCGGAAGGCCGCCTCTGTCTTTTTAAACAAGGGTTCCAGCAATATGTCTACCCTACGAGGCGGAAAATTGGGCACCTCAGATCAACTCGCCAATCCGGCTCTGTGTGTCTAAATGCTCACAGCTTGCTGGCAAAACGGCCCAACATTCGCCGAAAATCTGGCAGTGTAAAAGGGGCTGGAGGCTGCAAGTGCATCAGCGAGGTCAGGCTGGGTTAAATATCGCGACTAAAGTACTCTACTTAGCTCCTACATTATTAGTCAAAACAATGCAACAATAAATGAAAATTAAAATGTTTAAAGAAATAGAATGGTTATTCATTTCCATATAATTTTCTGTCAAAGCCACAGGGAGCCACTGGAGACGGGCAAAAGAGCCGCACTTTGATTCGGTCTATATGGGCACATTTTTTGTTTCAGAACTGAGAACGCTACGATACAATAAAGCAAATTTGAATATAAAGAAGAAAACAAACACTGTGGGGCCACAAAATCAGGCTCCCGTTGATCGTCTGTGGAGCAGCTCCAGACTTCATACCCTATGACATCACAAGTTTGAGACCTTTTACCATGACGATCTGACCTACATTAAAATATATATAAGAAGAGAAAAACAATGGAAATATACAGTAGATGAAGAATGTTTTTCTTTCCCACCTTTTATTGTCTTTCCTTCTGTTTATTGTCCGTCCTCAGCTGAGAGGTGGAGTGAACAGAAAGTGGAAACCCCCGCACCCGTATTCCTAGTCTGCAGGGTGTTTCCATCATGTGCATCCATGTATGCAGGATATATGCAGTGTGCACAACATCACGTAGATGTGCGTGTGTTCCATCCATCCTGATACGTGCAGCAGCAGATAGACGCACACAGCTGTTCTCTCGCAGCTTTCTGCCAGTGGAAAGATGGAGAGAAAAAACAGATAATTGCTGCATTATTCTGCCAGAAAGCTTTTGCAGCTGTGTGGCATTAAATCAGTGGTAAATACGGTTAAATACTGCCTCGGACTTACTCAACTTCTCCTTCATCTCCTGGACCAAGCTGTGTTTAGGCTGGCTTTCTGTCCTAAACTGATTCTGTGCTCTCAAACTGCCAGCAGCAGAGTCATGGATTAAAGCTCCAGAGACCTCACCTGACCCTCCAGGTGGCTGCACAGCGGAGTTATTACGATGAGGCGGGTTGATGATAGTGAATGCCTCGAAGCCTCGACAGCAGCTTTCCATCATGGCTCTATTGGCACGCGCGTTAGTCTGAAGCCACTGATACAAAACATCCATTGTTTACTGAGCCTGACAAAGCACAGAGCTGATTATACGGCTTACAGTCGTTGTATATCGGACTAAATGTGTGTGTGTTAGTGTGTGTTTGTGCGCTTTTGACCTGCAGACAACTAGAGAGTTATGAAGGTTAATAAAGTCCAACTGTTCGTTCAGTGAGAGGCCTTTGTACCCGCAGCTGGACCTCAGCTCTCTCTGTCTCTGGTCTGAACAGAGGTCGAACGGAAACAGAGACGAGACAATTTGATCACGGAGTGTACCCATTTATCAGCCGCATGTCAGTGTCAGCTGATATTCACCTTATTGACAGCAGTGGCCGATGTTTTTTCTGTTGTGTCACATCAATTTTACGCAGGCTGAAAAGCAGAGCTCGAGACGAACATCGTCCTGACGTCCCAGGAACAATAGAAAATGTGTCTTGGACAAACAGGGCCACCTTCAGGACAAAAGGCCGCCGTAAACTCGCTATCGACACATCAGAGGATGCACCCTGTTGTTTCCCTGATAATGCTACATCGTAAACAACAAATCTGTGTTGACATCAGCAGGAGGAGAGCTAGTTAACGTTAGCTATTAGTAGGGCTGCAACAATTATTTTCATTGTCGACTAATCTGTCGATTATTTCTTCGATTAGTCGACTAATCATTTTATCGAAAAATGTGTTCAAATGTTGAAAAATGTCGGTCTGTCTCTCCCAAACCTCAAAATTATGTCATCTAATGTCTTCTTTCATACTCATGGGTTTTAGTTCACCATCATGGGAGAGTGTGTAAAGCTGCCAATATTTGAATGTAAGAAGCTGCAATAAGAGTATTTTGGAGCACTTTTATAGTACTTTTCTATGACTCAAATCGATAAGTCGANACATGAAACTTTGCACAGAGATGCCTCTCCTCATGAGGAACACATTTGCCTCAAGAACCCATAACTTCCGCTTATATAGATTTTCCGCCATTTTGAATTTTTTGAAAAACACTTCAAATGGATCTCTTCCTAGGAAGTTTGAGCGATCTGCATGAAACTGGGTGAACATAATCTAGGGACCAATATCTAAAGTTCCCTCTTGGCAAAAGTTGGAAAACTTACTAAAACTGAGCTTCTATAAGGCAATGAATATTGCGGAGGGCGTGGCTCATCACATAAAGGTGTATAACATCTCAAGGGTTTCACCCATCACCACGCAACTTTGTAGGCATATGACCACACATAATCTGAGGGGACCCCTCCATTATTGACCCCATCAAACAAAATGGGGGCGCTAGAGAGCTCATTTCTTATCTAGGCCTAACCGCCTTATGGATTTTTACTAAACTTGGTAGATATGTAGAACAGGACGCCTCAAGGTGACTGGAGAAATTTAACTCTAATTGGCAACTGAGTGGCGCTATAACAACAGAAAAATGCTTCAAAATGGCTAAAATGTGACCGATCGCTGTGGCTCCCCCTGTGGACCACTGTTGTTGTTTCTAATGTTTGGTATGACTAAGTCATGGTATGGTATGCTGTACATAATCATGGAAACTGTCAGTATGTCATTCTGTCAGTCAGTCATTCTGTCTGTCCCACGTTTTTCTACTCACTGACGTGGTCAATCTATGTGAAACTGCACTTTGAGGATTGGCATAGGTAGAAGGTGATAAAGCTACCAATGAGTATGGACTAGTCTCAACAACTATCAGATGTATAAAGTGCTGCAAGAATGAGTCCCAAAACCCAGAAATGAGTTCGAATTTTTGTTGATGTTTTGCTGAAATTTGTTGATTTCATAAGGGATGCAGGGGACACGCCTCCTTCAATATTTAGAGCATGTGCATGTGTTCACCACATGTTAAAAACATGAAAGCAGCAGAGGACTTTTATTTTTAGGACATTTACACCATAAATTGTTGCCGAAATGGCACAAACTGATGCACATAAAGTCACCAGAGTACTGAATTTAAGAGTCTGACTGGCGGAGGACCCCAAACCCCCCACTGTATACATGAACCCCCAATGATGCTGAATATATTAAGCTGTGTGGAGCTTGAACTAATGACTAAAGAGAAATCCCGACCCCGTGGCTTGACCACATCATATGTTGTTATAGTACATCCTACAGATGTGTGCACCAATGCCTTGTTATAGACAGTAATTTATGACACTGTATTTTTTCACCTTGTTTTTTGCAGACACTGAGGTTTGTGGATTCGGTTGGCAGAAGTTTCAGTCTCACTGCTACAAGTACTTCACACACCGCCGGACGTGGGACGCTGCTGAGAGGGAGTGTCGGCTGCACGGTGCCCACCTGGCCAGCATCCTGTCACAGGAGGAGCAACTGTTTGTCAACCGTAAGTCTGCTATGTTGCACTGATGTTGCACGAATTGAGGATCCTGTGACAACAGCGATCAACAGCCTCATTTAAAGGACAGTTCCAGTTTTCAGCCACGTCACTTTGGTGCAGACTGATATTTCTGAACTATTGGGTGCATTTCTAAGAAATTTGGTTTAGACGTTCATGTTTACTCTCCAAACTGTTAAGTGAAAACATCTGCTGCTGCTTCCTTGTTTAACTCTGACTCAGAATTTACTGAACTGGTTTCAGCACACAGTTTTATAATTAAGTGGATTATCATAAAAGAAATGTGCCGCTGCATTCACATTGATGTTTGCACCAACAGATTCTTCTTTAGAGCCAAAACTTCCAAATCTCAGACTCCAGCTGTTGAAAAACTGATTTTGTCTTTAAGATACTGAGACTATTGTTGTTCCTTCCACTGATAAACTAAACTCTGTGACTATCTAGAAGCACTGCTGCTGTTTTATAGGCCAGTGCACTTTGAGAAAACAGCGTGTTTAGAGAGAGGACAGTTGCATCTGTGCTCTAATCCAATGATGAGTGTCAGTAAGATAAAATAAAGTCTTTAAACAGAGACTTTCCATACACACAATCAGACTTGAGCAGCATGTAAACTGTCTCTCACTTTATTGGGGACACTGAGATGAAATGGACTTGTGCCGTTCATTAAAAGCTGCTCAGCCTGAACGTCTCTTCTGATTTCTGCTCTCGTGTTTGTTCACACTCTTGATTATCACTTCTGCTGCTGCTGCTGCTGTACACATGTTCACACCACAAGCGTGTAAATCAACACATCGTCTCCTCCTCTCTCACTCGCTCCTCTCGAGACCCCTCTGCATTGTGACACTAACACAGACTCTAAGTTTAACTCTGATGTGTTTTGCCTCTGCAGGTCTGGGCAGTGACTACCAGTGGCTCGGCCTGAACGACAAGATGTTTGAGAGAGACTTCAGGTGGACTGATGGAAACCCATTGGTGAGGCAATTCAATAGATCAGTCTGTGGAAGAACCACGAGCATCTAATGAAAATATTTAATCTATAAAATCAGAAGGAAGCCTTGTATTGTAGCCTCCTCCAGTCTGATTGTCGAAGTATCCTTGAGCAAGATATTGAACCCCAAATGATGATGGCTGTTCCATCGGTGTGTTTAAACCATGTAGCAGGTGGCAGTAGCTGTGTGAATGGGTGAATGTGAATGTGAATGAACTTTGGCGTAGAACTGGACTGAAGAACAAGGGACCAGCTGCAGAGCTTCCCGTCCTCTAAAGCCCCATTTCCACTGAGCAGTACCGTTCAGTTCAGATTGGTACTTTTTTTTTCTGTTTCCAGTGTAAAAAGTTATGGATGGTACCAACAGAAGCGTTCCGTACCGTCCCCATGTTTGGTCCCCCCTCTGTTGGGGTACCTAGCACACAGATCTGGTACTAAAAGGTGGAGCTGTGAACACTGCAGTCTGATTGGTCAGTAGAGGACGGTCACTCTGCTCAGGGCTGAGTTGTGTCTGGTTTTGAGGCTCATGTAACCACTGTTCATACTGTGGAGAGTTCTATTAGTAAACTGTAACTATAAAATGAAAGGATGTTTTGCTGCCTCTCACAGCAGCTGGAGTCTGAGAGAAAATAACTTCATTCACTGGGCCGACTGCCGGTGACTTTTAAGGTGGAACGTTAACTTGTAATGTTACTCACTTACTGTTTGGTGGAAACGGGGCTTTATTAAGAAGTTAAGTTTTCTAATGTTGTTAAAGGTGTAAACATCAATGGCTTTAATGGTCAAACATTACACTCACAAATACATAATCTATTTAGGGATGTTTAGGCGACACTGTTGCACGTCTTCTTCTGCTGTTTATTTGAAACAAAGCAGAAACATAAAACACGTCCTGTGTGCTGGTCGTGATGCAGCACCTCATATGTATTTACTCACGATGACACATTCTCACACACATTGTGCGTCTGCTGGGAAACACTAAGCTGTTGCAGCATGTGAGCTGGACTCTGCAGTGAAAGCGAGGCCTGAAACCTGACACTGGGGGGACTCTGCTGTTGTCATGTGTTATCATTCAGAACAGAGGCACACCCTGCCCGGGGTGAAGCTCTGTACATACAGCAGAGCGCCTGTTTTGTGTAGCATGTAGTTTATGTAGTTTTGTTTTCTCTCGGTTTTTCTTTTTAAACAAACCAGAGCAGCTGATTTGTGGGTTTGCTCCTGCAGGAAGCTTTAGGTTTGTTTGGGCCTGTGGAGCTGGCCGTCCCAGCAGCACCACTGTCTGCTGTCTCTGTGAATTACATCCAATATGCATCATCTCCTCATGGGGATATAGGAGGTGGCTCTGTGGTCCATATGCACACATGAGCAGTATCGATCATGGCAGGATAATCACAGAAATCATCTTGAGTGTCTCGGTATGATGCTCTCGAGTTTGAGATGCAGCACAATCAGGAATGTCTGGGGATTAAGTAATACCTCACTGCGCATTTATAGCTGAGTTTATTGGGTGTTTGACAATAAAGTGAAAGAGGGAAAATGTGTGTTGTGGCAGCAATACGACCACTGGAGGCCGAACCAGCCGGACAGCTTCTTCCAGTCAGGAGAGGACTGTGTGGTGATGATCTGGCACGAGGGAGGACAGTGGAACGACGTGCCCTGCAACTATCACCTGACCTTCACCTGCAAGAAGGGGACAGGTACACACACACGGACACACATGTACACACTCTAAAGATTTCGCAGGTAAAAGTCAACAACACAACTCAGCCTGTAAAAACAGTAGGGCTGCCCCCTGATAGTCGACGAAACCCAAAAACAAACCTGAAATTTTATCAGGAGCTGCCCCTTGTCAAAATAAATCCAAACCTATATGACTGGA